GCTCAGATTCCTTTAACATCAAATTATATTTTCCTTGTAACTTCATTTTGTTTTGGTACTGGCAATTGAACTCAGGACCTTGTGCTTGCTAGGCAGGCACTTATGCTGCTGAGCTATCTCCTTAACTTCTAAATTATATTTAAAATGTGCAGGTAAAAGATAAAGAATACCAACAGGACAAACAACCTTGAACCCAATACCCACTGTGAGAATTAGGATTTTATCAGTATTGAAACTTCAGGTCCTCTTTCTTCCCTGTGTAAAAGTAATCATCCATTCTAAATTTTGTGTTTTCGTTTATCCTATGTGAATATAACTCACAACTACATAGTTGTTTTTGTATATTTTTAACTTGATGTTGTCAAGCTGTGTTTGATTTTCTGAGATTTGTTCATATCATGACTGGTTGTTGTTTAACAGGATAAAATTAGTTATATAGATAGAGATAGCATATACTTAGTACACTTTTTTTTTTTTTTTTTTTTTTTGGCAGAACCGGGGATTGAACTCAGACCTTTGCACTTGCCAGGGAAGCGCTTATTCTACTGAGCCATCTCCCTGGTCCCTACTTAGTACGCTTGATGTGTGCTAATATGTTTGATACCAACATCAGTCATAAGTTTATTCTGTTATTGTCCCTATTTAACGGAAGACAATGAGGCATAGGGAGGTTGAGCTGTCACTATCAAACATGATAAAAGGCTGCCCTAGTGAGGGAAGCTTATAAGTTAGATAGTCATGTGAAAGTCACCTTACCCCAGAGCAGGGATGAGGGGTTGGATGAGCCCTCAAGACCCCATCATGGATGCCCGTTGCCCACAGTCTTATTCTTTTCACAGGTCCCTATGGGTGCAGAAGTGTTTACTCACCATGCACAGGTGAGTAGAAGGTGTCTCAGACCCGTAGCCTCATCTCCCAACTTATGTATGGTCTTGAATTATGGTGTCCTAGAACTGTATACTGGATCAGCCTCTGGCTATAAGGTTTAGGGTCTCTGAAGTTCCCTCAGCCTCAGGGACTCGTATCTAGGCTGAGGGTTATATGCAGACGTGATCATTTCTGGCAACCTCTAGAATGCTGTACAGTTGGTATTGTAAGTACAAGGCCAGTACGTGGCATGGTTGTTTGTGTAAGAACTGAAGTCCTTCATTATGTTTGGTAACAGAGCATAGGGATAAAGGCCCAGAACAGCAGGCTGAGTAAATGTGTTGCTTTTCTGCATGTTATGAGCCAAGGAACATTTTTGGTTTGGCTTGTTTTATAAGACAAGAGTCTCACCATGTAGCCCAGGTTGGCCTTGAACTCATAGTCATCTTCTAGCTTCAGCCTCCTAGAGCTGAGATTACCAGTGAACAGGCCTAGCTACTGAGGAGCATTTGGAATAGAGAATGGTAGTGACCTGAATGAAGAATTAGCAGATTTCCCTTGGCTGCACAGTGAATCATAGATGTCAGGGGCAGTGGAGGAGGTTAGTGCAGTAGTCTAGATGAATATTGATTTTGGCCAAGTAGGAGTGATAGCTGTGGAGGTAGAGAATCTTAGGACTTCTGGATTTGTTTTTCTGGTTATACTTTATGACGTGGAGAAGAATCAGATAATATGATATTAACCAAGGGAGGAAGTCAGTTGTGGGAGTGAATTTCAGAGAGAATATCAGGAATTAGGATTTGGACGTGTTGATTCTAAGAGACTTTCAAGTAAAGGTACTGAGTGGGTAGCTCAACAACAAATAGTTCTGGAGTTCAAGATGTTGAGATACAGACATAAGGTATGTGGACTAAGTAGGCTGTGAATCACTAAATATTTTTAAGGAATCTTCAGGTACTGGTGGCAAGTCCATCATGGTTCCTGTGTTAGCTTTTTGCCACAGTGACAAAATACCTGATAAAATAAACTTCAAAGAAAGAAAGATTTATTTTGGCTTACAGTTTTGTAAGATTCAATCCATGGTAGTTTGGCCTGATTGCTTTGGACAGGACATCATGGTGAGGGGTGGGGGCGTATCACAGAGCAAAGCTCCTCACTTAATGGTGGTCAGAAACTGAAGAGAAAGGAAGATGCTGAGGTCCTAATATACTTTTCAAGAGCGTGCCCCCAGTGACGTGGTTTCCTTCACGTAGGCACCATGTTTCAAAGGATCATCATGTCTCAGTGCCATCAGCTGGAAACCAAGCTTCAGTACATTAGCTTTTGAGGATGTTGAATAGTTAAACCATAATAGCCATGTAATTTGAGGGTAGGGCAGGAGGACTGGATCCCTTTCTCGGGCTCCTAAGTGGAGTTGGTAAGCATTACAGTCAGTATTGAGGGTGAGTAGCAGGGCAGGAGGCAGGTCTCATAGATGGCAAGGGCCTCTAAGGGAGAAGGTCATGAGATGGTTGTAGAAACACAGAAGTGAATTGACTGTGGGACCAAGGCCTGTGATTATTCTGCCCTTGAAAGGTTCACCAGACTTTTGTGGTGACCTATGTCGAAGCCTAGAGAGCTTTACTCAGGCTCTTGAGTAATGTGGTTAAGTGGGAGAACGTCACTGAATGGCAGGAGACAAGTGGAGCCAGGCATTGATAGGACTTTGACTAAAGAGGATGGTTGAAATGGGTGAGGGGACAGCACATCAACTCAGCAGTGGAAGAGAATTTAAGGTATCTGCTACCTGCACGTGGTTCTGAGAGATGAGGTTGAAGTAAGGAGTAGGGCAAGGTAGAGAGATCTTTGAAGCAGGGCTCCAGGCTTCCCTTAGGACTGTGAGCCATCAGAGATCTGTGACAGATACAGTCATGGTTGCATGTCCCAGGCACTCTGGATGCATGTGCAGAGTGGAAAGTAGAAAGATGAGGAGATGCCTATAGGGAGCAATGGGATTGGCAGTGGTAGTCTAAGGTAAGAAATGTGGGGACAGGATGGTACATAGAAAGATAGCATGAAATGATGGTCTGAGGTACTTGGCCCTAGGAGCTCTAGGAAGAAAAAAGAGCCTGAGTTTGCTTGTACAAGGAGACATGAATTTGGAACGCAGGAGAATTTACTGTGAGGAGAGGGGGTGGGGCCCTTCCTGTGAGGCTTACAGCTTCTTGGCATTGATCTGCACACGTCTTAGTAGATATGGGCAACACAGTGATCAATAGACATATAAGGCGAGAGGGAGCAGCAGTGGCATCCAGCCCTGTTATCTTCTGTGTAGTGAGCTGGGGAGAACGGGAAATGAGCTTAGACTGATGTTCCTCAGCAAAGAGGCTGCTCAGGGGCCCTGCTCTCCCTCTCATGTAGGGCAGTGTGACCTTTGGGGATGTGGCTGTGGACTTTTCCTGGGAAGAGTGGAAGCTTCTTGATGAAACACAGAGACTCCTGTACTTGGATGTGATGCTGGAGAACATTGCCCTCGTGGCCTCACTGGGTAAGTCCCTCTTGCTTTCCCGCATTGTGGCCTGGCTCTTTCCTTCCCCTTTACTTCTGGGGCTGCTATTTGCTTCTCATAGCGCCCTGTAAACCCTGCTTCCCTTTAAGTTTTGTTTTGTTTTGGTAAGTGCTGGGTATGCCACAGTTCAGCTAAATGCTGACTGTTCTCTCCCTAGGATATCCTATCATCTAGGGCTGGGAAACTTACAAGAAAAGACATGGGCACAGGATCTTTCTGTGAACCCCATGGCTTTTACCTAGTATGGCCTCATCTGGAGAGTCACTATCCAGAATCATACTCCTCTCTTCCATATTCTGTCCACCTTCCTCCTACTGACATTCCTGTAACTTGATTCGAAGAATTGCAAGTACCAATATGGTCACTAGTTTTGACATCATTAGTGTGGTTCTTATAAGATGTTCCTCCATAGTTCTTTTTGTACTTATTTACTGTAGTCAGTGGGGTGATGGGAGTACCATGCACTACTGTTGTTTCCTCACTTGCCATGTCTTTCACTTAGGACTTATATCTTCCCGGATTCATGTTGTACAACTGGAGGTGGGGGAACAGACCCAGGTGCCTGACACGGCTGACTTTACTCCAGTCGTCTCGAAGGATACTGGCTCTGGTAAGTCAGAAGTAAATGATACCTTGACATTAAAAGTGAGTTCTAGGGCTGGGGAGATGGCTCAATAGAATAAGTGCTTGCCTGGCAAGTGCAAGGGCCTTACTTCAATCCCTGGTTCCACCAAAAAAAAAAAAAAAAAGTGAATTCTAATGGTACCAGTTAACCTCTCCAGTGCCCATCACTGTTTTCATACCAAGGATGGGGCCATGACTTGTTTCATCCATTCAGGCCCATTCTTAACACTTTTCTCCATTGTCATTCCTACAGTGTCTTCTTTGTTTGTTTGTTTGTTTTTTTTGTGGCACCAGGGATTGAACTCAGGCCCTTGCGCTTGCCAGGGAAGCGCTTATTCCACTGAGCCATCTCCCCAACCCCTCCTACAGTGACTTCTGACCTTGGCTGTCCACATATTTTTTGCTTTCAGGTTGTGTCCCTCATTCTCCACCAGTCCCCTCTGCAGAGGTCTCCACTAAGCTACATATAATGTACTCTGAGATGTGTACATTTCAGAATAGAGATAGGAGAAGCACAGCCACTCTTGCTATGCAGCATCCCACTCTTATATCCTTCCTTTTCCCCGTACTTCACAGTATGATGTTGTCACACTCAGTATATAGGAGGCCCTTTCTCTTGTTGGCTTTAGCTCCCATAGTCTCCCAAGATCCTATGTATTCATTCTGTGTGTGTGTGTGTGTGTGTGTGTGTGTGTGTGTCCAGCTCAGCCCACCAGGGGGCGGGGCTGGCTGGCATATGGTGCTGGGGGATTGAACCACCGTCCCTGTGCTTTGCTTAGTTTAGCTTGTTCTCAGTAGATGCTTTAGACCACTGAGCCATCTCACCAGCCCAAAGTGGAGATTCTTTTTTTTTTTTTCAGAACTGGGGATTGAACTCAGGCCCTTGTGTTTGCCAGGCAAGTGCTTATTCTACTGAGCTATCTCCCCGGCCCCTGTATTCATTCTTGGTTGTATATTTGAAAGGGTTACCCCTTTCACACTCATTGCAATCTCCATATCTCTCAGTAACATTTTCTACTTTCAGGTTGTTTGTTTTCAATGGAAGTTGAGGCATCTTCTCAAAGAGGGTCACAAGTCAAGGCTCTGAATGCAAGTACTGCTGCCCAGAAGGTTTACCCTTGTGAGGTGTGTGGCCCAGTGGTGAAGGACATTTTGTCTTTGGGTGAGCATCAGAAAATACATCCTGGGCAGAACCTGCACACATGCGAGGCCTGTGGAAGACAGCTGTGGTTCTTTACAGATGTCCTTCAGCAGCACATTCAGGAGCAGCGCATTGAAGAGAAAGATGTCAGGAGGTGTGAGGAGACAGCTGTGTTTGTTAACAGCTCTCCAGCACACACCTCAGTGAGTTCCTTTATGTGCATAGATGGTGATGAGGATCCCCTGGGCAGTTCGAGTCACCTACAGCACCAGGCCAGGGGTAATGAAGGAAATCCATACACAATCACTAGCTACAGCACAGCCTTTCAAACTAAGGAAAGACTTTATGAGTGCAACGAATGTGGGAAATTCTTTAGTCACAAAATTGCACTTGTTTGGCACCAGAGAATCCACAGAGAAGTGACTGAAAGTGAGAATATCCTTAGTGCAGACCCTGTCCTTATTGCACATCCGAGAGTTCATACCGGTGAGAAGCCATGTGAGTACGATGAACAGGGGAAGTTCTTTAGCCAAAGCTCCAGCCTCATCCTACACCAGTGGGTTCACTCTGCTTTAAAGCCTTATCAATGCAATGAATGTGGAAAAGCCTTCAGATGCAAATCCAGGCTTGTTCAGCATCAGAGAATCCACACTGGAGAAAGGCCTTTTGAGTGTACAAAATGTGGAAAATTCTTTAGACAGAGTTCTGTCTTTATTGAACACCAGAGAGTTCACACTGAAGCAAAACCTTATCAGTGCAATGAGTGTGGGAAATTCTTTAGGAGTAAAGTAACACTGGTTCGACACCATAAACTCCACACAGGTGAAAAGCCTTACGAGTGCAGTGAATGTGGGAAGTCATTTATTCAGAGCTCTTACCTTACTGCACATATGAGAGTTCACACTGGAGAAAAGCCTTATGCGTGCAGTGAATGTGGAAAAGCCTTTAGAATCAAAAACAAACTTGTTAGGCACCAGAGAATCCACACTGGAGAAAAGCCTTATGAGTGCAATGAGTGTGGGAAGTTCTTTAGAAGCAGAGTGATACTTGTCCGGCACCAGAGAATCCACACTGGAGAAAAGCCTTACGAGTGCAGTGAATGTGGGAAGTTCTTCAGAGAAAGCTCCAGCCTTATTTCACACCAGAGAGTTCACACTGGTGAAAAGCCGTATGAGTGCACTGAATGTGGGAAATGCTTTAGCCATAGATCAAGCCTCAATTTACACCAGCGAGTTCACACTGGAGCAAAACCTTATGAGTGCCCTGAATGTGGGAAAGCTTTCAGCCGTAAAGATGGACTTGTTCAGCACCAGAGAATCCACAGTGAAGAAAGGCCTTATGAATGTAGCATATGTGGGAAATTCTTCAAGCAAAGCTCTGGACTCTTTGTACACCGGAGAATCCACAGAGGAACAAGGCCTTATCAGTGTAATGAATGTGGTAAAAATTATAGCAGGAGATCCCACCTTGTTCAGCACAAGAAATTTCACATTGGATAAAAGCCGCCTGAATCAAACAAAATTTGAGAAAGCCTGTAGCAAAAGCACCATCCTAGTGTGTCATAGAACAGAACATTGGAATAAGGCCTTATGCATGCAGCCGATGTACGACAACCTATAGCAGCCAACACATACTTCTTCTACACTGGAGAAAGGACTTGAGTGTTGTGAATATGGCTGAAGCATTTGTATAAAACCTGATCCAGCACCAGAATATTCACATTATAGAAATTGTGCAACAGATGTACGAAATTTTTAATGTAAATCTCCAGACATGTTCTGTACCAGCGGGTTCATACTAATGCAGAATTTTATGAATGTAGCAACTCCAGAACATCCTTTACATGTAAAATCATAACTGTTGAGCACCAGAGAATACACACTGGGAAAAGGATTTATGAGTACACTGAATTGTGAAATGGGTTTGGCAAAGCTGTAGCTGAATTCACATCTGATAGATGAGTTGGTTGAATATGAACAATTTTTTAGCCATGGCTCCAACTTCATTTTACAACAGAATTCATATAAAGCAAGACTTTAATGAGTATAAGAAATGTAGGAAAACATCTAGCCTTAATCCATATTTCTTTAGGACTAGAGAATCCATACTAAAAAGTGGGACTTCTCAGTTCTAAAAATGTGAAAAATTATTCAGGCCTAAGTGCGGCTTCATTAAACATTTTAGAAGTCAATGCACAAGAGGAAAGTGCACTCACTGAAAAATGTACCAGTCAATGATCCTAATTCATTTCCCACTGAGAAGAGCCTTAGGAGTATAGAAGATGTGCTATCTGCTTATTCAATACAAGGACAGACATTGGAGAAACACCCTGAGAAATCATCAGCCAAATGTTAAATCGTAGATGTTGACATCCACACTTAAGATTCAGTATAATTATGTGGGACATTCTCAGGACTGCATTGTACGTTCTAATCCCATCCAAGGCCCTGGTTGTGTCAGTGCCAGTACTTTTGGTTGAAGGCTCTTCACCTCTGCCACCTTGCAAGTACGAATCATAAACCCTAGTATGCTCAGTGAGCACATACTTTGGTGGCCTTTATCCTATCCCCTGGAGGCAAATCACAAGTTGTCTAAGCATAATTATAATTGGGACTGAAGTACTGTATGTGAGTAACAGTTGGGGTGACTATAGCAAGCCCAAGAGTTACCCCATGTAAAGGTGCTTCCATAAATACTCTAGTCCAGTCATCATAGCTCTGAGTGATGAGGGTACACAGATATACTCAGGATCATTGGACTCATGTATTGCCTATGGCCATGGTGATTGGCAAAACAAATAATGTAAATGTTTCTGGCTTCCCATAGCCTGCTTGGGCTATTCACTTCAAGGTTTCCTGCGTTGGCAGGAAAGGGGAGCCAGAGAACAAATCCTCTGGTCTAGAGATAAAGACTTGTGTCTCATGAGGCAATGTCCTTCACTGTTAGTCTTCCTAAAGGATGAAGAAAATTATAGTGGAGTCAATATGCTTAAGAAACCCATCTGGTTTTTCAAGAGGACTTGATCTACATTTTTACATGGAACCTTTTTTTGATGACTTGAAGTATGATATAAATTATAGACTTAAGAAGTCTTAACATATGTAAAAACCCATGAAGCCACCCCAAGTATGAAGATACAGTGATCATCTGCAAAGCTACCTTGTGTACCCATGTGCTCTTCTCATCTTCCCTGGCTCCTCTCTATGACTAGCAATTTACTGTTAGTATGAACTAAATTGCTTTTCCTGAGATTACACTTTTTTCTTTTCTTTTTTTTTTTTTTTTTTTGGTCATTTTGAGACAAGGTCTTGCTATGCAGTTCAGGTTGGCCTCGAGCTCATTTTGTAGCCCAGTTTGGTCTTGAACTCAAAGTTCTTCTGCCTCAGCCTCCCAAATGCTGAGATCACACGCGTGTTCCACAGTGCCCAGTTTACACCTTTCTTTGTCTGTTTGAGACAGGATTTCACTATGTAGTTCAGGCTGTCCTTGAACTCATTAGGTAGCCCAGGCTGGCGTTGAACTTGTAGCAGTTCTCCTACCTCAGCCTCCCAAGTACTCGAATTGGTGTGTGTCACCATGCCCAGCTTACTCCTTTTTCATTCATTTGGGTATTCATCCATGTTGCGTGTATGAGTTTTTGTGTACTTATTGCTGAATAGTATTTTTTTCCCATATATACAGTTATTGGGTAAATCTGTTAGTGGACCTTTGTTTTTTGTCTTTTTGAGATGATCTTGCTCTGCAGTTTAGGCTGGTCTTAAACTCCCAAGGATCCTCCTGCCTCAGCCTCAGTGCTGGAATCACAGGTGTGCACCATCACGCCCAGCTAGTTTGTGGACCTTTGGATTGGTTCCAGTAAAGGGTTATAACAAAGTTGTAATTAACAGTTTTGTACTTGTTAATACTTAGAAGTACAATGTTCGTATTAAAAGATAAACATTTATCATTCTACAGACTGACCAACTTCAAAGTGGTTGTACCGTGGTAAATTTTTATTAGCATTATCTGATTCCAATTCTGTATGTCAGTCTTTAACTTTATGGGTGATACTCTTATAAAGAATATTCATTATGAAATGTCACTTTCTAGTTCTTTGCCAATACAGAGAAGTATAATTACATCTTGTATATTGATTTTTCTGTCCTGGAAACTAGCTTTTTTTTGTTGCTTTGTTTTGTTTGCAGATTCCATGGGGTTTTCTCCACAGACCTTCATGTTGTCTGTAAAAGAGAAAGCTTTTTTTTTTTTTAAAGTCTGGGAATTATGGGGCCAGTGAGATAGCTGAATGGACTAAGCACCTACTTCAGCAAGCGCAGGGACCAGGGTTTGATCCGTGGTCCTGCATGCTGCGTTGGCCCTGCCCCTGCCCCCAGGGTGCGCTGAGCCACAACCACGTCTGGGTGTGGTGGTGCACACCTGTGATTCTAGCACTAGGAAGATTGAAAACAGGACGATCAATAGGAGTCAGGTGCGTAGGGAGACCCTGTACCGAATACATAAAATGAAAGAACAAAAGATAAAATAAAAACTGGGGGTTACGAAATTTATTGCCATAGAGTCATACGAAACTCAGAAAGGGGCTGAGGATGTTGCCTAGTCCAGAAGCCCAGTGTTCAGTCCGCAGTACCTAGGACAAATCCACAAACTGCATGGCAACTTAGTCTACTATCAGAATATTTGTATCTCCCCTAACCCAAATTCTTACATTGAAGCCTCACAGGTGAGGCAGTAATGGGATTAATGTCCTCATAATCAGAAGAGATCAGGCCCTTTCTCTGCCACATTAGAATATAGTAAGCCAGGCAACGGAGCCATCCCAAACCTAACCATGTTGGCACCATGATTTCAGACTAGCTTTGAGGCTAGGAGAAATGTATGACTTTTAAGCTACCTACTCTCTGGTATACTGCTACACAGTCTAAGAGCCATTAGAGGGGAAGGGGATGAAAAAGAATTGAGTTGTGTTGTGTACATGTACCCATTCCCCATGAGAAAGTCATGTACTGCAGACATGGACCAGTAAAAACGTTTTAAAAATCTAGCAAGACATTAACAGTGCACACTTGCACTTACAGGAGGCTGAAGCAGGAGGATCATGAATTCAAGGTCAAACCTGGACACAGTGAGTTTAGAGCCTGCCTGAAGTATACAGTGAGACCCTGCCTCAAAAAAAGTACAAATATACCCCCCAAATTTTTTAAATGATATAACCTATTAAGAATGAATGTGGCTCTTTCTGCCTTAGGCACTGATAAATAAACATTAACAAATAGAAATAAAACATGGATGATAAAAAATGGTGAATTTTTTTTAAATTTGAGAACTTTAGTGGGGGTGGTTGTGGGGACAGTATTGGGAATGGAATTCAGGACCTCGCTGTGCCACTGACCCACACTCCAGGCTCAAATTTGAAAACTGAGTAAAAGACATTGCCATGAATGATAAGTATGAAGTAGGGAAGCATTTTGAGGGAATTTAATGGCAATGTATCTTTTGTGACAACTTTTTTTTTATCTTTTGTGACAGAATATAAGCGCTGTCACTCCTCAGGGACTAAGGATGCACCGAATCCAGTGTGACTAGAGCCCATGCCCAGTATGGGAGAAAAGCAAGGCAAAGGTTTGAAGAAAGATCAAGACCTGAGCTACACAGTGCTGGAACCGAGAGTTTGGGTAGAAACACTACAGTGCAGTACACAAGTATTCCTTAGGATTACCCGAAACATGAGTAAGAGGGGCCCTGGGAGATGGCTCAATGGAATAAGTGCTTCCCTGGCAAGCACAAGGGCCTGAGTTCAATCCCCGGTTCCACCAAAGAAAGAAAACATGAGTAAAAAATGCTGTGGCTTCCACAGTGACACTAATCAGACAGACTACTCTGTAGTCTCATTGAAAATTTAAAAGCAAGCCCTGACAGGAAAAGTTGCTAGGTAACGTTGCTGAGTGCCATGTAAGGCCAGCACTAAAGGGACACAAATGCAATGTGGCAATGAAATTACACCAGCTGATAATTGCTGTGCATAAAAAGGTGCATGATTATAAAGCATTTATGTACATGGTAAGGTTAGACCATTAATGAAATGTCTCATAATTACTGTATACTAGTTTTCAGAGGTCTGAGAGTAAAATAGATTTTTAAAAAATATGCCTAAATCTGGCCGGGGAGATGGCTCAGTGGAATAAGCGCTTCCCTGGCAAGCACAAGGGCCTGAGTTCAATCCCCAGTTCCGCCAAAAAATAAAAATATGCCTAAATGAAATATATCTAAGATATGAACACCAGATTAAACCATGAAAGAAATTGTCAAATTTGAAGGTGTAACTGTAGATATTATCTAAAATGAAAGAGAAAAAATTAAAACAGTGATTTGTAGGAATGTATGTACCTAGGATGTTAGGAGTAGTCACAAAATGTAATATCTACTGAAAAAATGAGTAAAAGATAAATCCAAAATGCTCAGGGAACTCCAAGGAAAAATGTCACATCATAGTGTTCATAATCAAATTGCTAAAAACATGCCAAAAATCCTCAGGCACTGTAAGAAGTAGGTGATACATATTTCTTCCCTAAAACCAGTATTTGAAAAAACAGTGAGTGAAATAATTTTTTACCTGATAATGTTTTAAGTGAGTCCTGTTTCAGACAACACAATTGTTAAATCTAGAAATAAGTAGACAAAAATTATATCAGAAATTTGATTTGCCAAAAATTTTTTTGGGTTTACATAAAAGTGAAAATTGTAAGGCTTTCCATTTTTAGTGGGGTTTTTTTGGTGCAGGGTCTCACTTCCCAGGCCAGACTCATAGTGAGCCTCCTGACTTCTGCCTCAGTGCTGGGCAGGTGCACACCACCATACCTGGGCTGGCTTTCCATTTTTAAACTAATTCATTAACCAAAAATTTTAATGAATTGCAGATTTGAAGTAAAAAAAAGATGGAAGAACACTGCTAGTTCTTTTTTTACAGGTGAAGTTTCATAAGCCAAAGGCATGTGTTTTACATCTAAGAACATTTCTCAACCTTGACACTAACGACGTTTGAGCCTGATAATTAATGGGTGGCTGTCCTGTGCATCCTGTCGTGCTTATAGCATTCCTGGCCTTGATCCCTAAGGACTTGTGTGTCCCTTGTCCACTTTTGGCAGTGTCTCCATACATTCTATCTGGCACCCATGTTTGAGAACTATATGAGTCCTGTAAACACTAAAGGAGCCAATAGTTTTTTGGGTTTTTTTTGAGACCGGGTCTCATTGTGTAGTTCAGGCTGGGCTTGAACTCTATATAGCCCAAATCTTGCCTCAGCCTCCCAAACACTGAGATTGTAGGTACGTACCGCAATGCCCAACAAGAAGCCAATAGGTTTAATAGTAGATTTTTGTTCTTTGGAGACAGGGTCTTGGTTTGTATTTCAGGGTGGCCTTGAACTCATTGTGTACCTAGGCTTGCATTTGAGTTGATCCTGCCTCAGCCTCCTGGGTGCTAAAATTGCAGGCATATGTTCATCAAATGTAGCGCATACATGACAATAATGCAAGAGTTTAATGGGCAATAATATATGTGGGGAAAAGGTGAAGGATAGTTGGGGAACCTGTTTTCCACACATTTTTTTGTGTGTGTCCACACGTTTTTCTGTAAACCAGTAACTGTTGAAAAGGGAAGTGTTTTTCAAAAACAAGAAACCAGGAACTTCACAGCATTCATTTATTCCTGGCTGAAGCCAGGGATTGGCTACAAAGACCTTTGGAACAATGAGCTAAAAGAGTGACAGGTCATCTATGAGGGTATCTTTATCCTGGGAGACAGTGGTCGGGTCAAGCAAAGGCGGGGGGGCGGGGGGCTGCTGGACCTGTTCTGCTGCCACAGATGGCAGTCTAGGGAGCACAGCCATGATATCTGCATTTTACACTGACCTGAAATAACCTTTCCTGAGTTATTTTTGTGTAAAGTAATTGTTCTAGAGCCAGCCAGCTAGCTCAGGGGATTAAAG